AAATTCTGCGAAGCAAGTAGTGCTGTGAGCTGAGGGTCCCACCGAACCAGGACTCCTTTGTCAACAATTTAAAATGTTTTATCCTCTTGCCTTCTGCAGACATTTCAGATTGCTGTGGCTTGAGAAATAGCTGTTACTTCCATGTGTGTTCAGTTGTAGCATTTAAACTCCTTCCAACACACACATGGACACACACATGTGCACGTGTGCACACACATCGAGAGATTGATAAATGTTTTTTTCATTATAGAAATGCAACTGATTGTTATGTTGTTATTTTACACAGTGACTTACATTTACTTAATTCTATGCTCTTTTCAGCTGCATATAAACTTCCGGCAAATATATCGAGTTGCACTTTCAGTTATTTTATTTTCATTTCTAGATATTTGTTTTATTATTTTGCAATTTCCAGTTATTTGCTATAATTTGTGAACTAGTCATCTATATTTCGAACATATATTGATCATAATAGTAGATTTAAATTTTGGGTCTGATATCTCTAAATTCTGAATCTCCTATTTGTGTGTGTTTTTTTCTCCTTCTATTGTCTGTTTCATTTTCTGTTTTTCTGAATTGTATTTATTTTTGTCTCCTCGTAAAGCTTTTAAATATTGGTTAAAGATCGGACGTTGCCTTTAAAAATTACAGACATAGTTTGAGGCTCTGAATAATGTTATCTTCCTCCAGAGAGGATTTACTTTTATTTCAGGCAAAACAAAGTAAATACAATTTACCTCATCCTAGTCAGGACTGAGTGCTTATGAACTAGGCTCCAGTCTTTAGAAGGTCTAGCCTATTACTCATTTATTTTTACTCCTATGTTGCATCTTACTGAGTTTTTTCTTGGAGGGCTTTAAATCCAACATGTATTGCATAAACCTTTAAATCTGCTGAGATCCACTATTTCATCCCCTCTGTTTGCAACGGACAAATGCCTTGAGGGGAACTGGAACTGGAGATGACTCATATCTCTGCCTTTTACTCTTCAGGAGAAGCAGGGCTGCTTAAGTCTTTATGCCTTGATAACATTGTAATACTTTCTAAAAATACTTTTATCCTCCTTTTAAAATTGTTGCTTGTTTTGTTCCAGTTGTCCCAAGGAGTAGAATTGGCCTTCAACCAGCTGGTCCACCACTGTTCTATTTGAAAATGCCCTATCAAGAATCCATCATTTCTTTTTCTCTTTCAAGTACTAGAATGTATTCACTACGGCTTCCTCTGCCATAAACAAACAAACAAACAAACAAAACAAACAACAACAACAAAAAACCCACTATTCTCAGCAAAACATAACCTTACCAGCTCTTGAGAGTATGACATAATCAGATGGTTTACTCCCTGATTTCAGGATAAATATGTTCAAAATTAAGGTCACATCAGCATCAGCTGGAAGGTTTGTTAAATCACAGTGCTCGGCTCCAACCTTAAGGTTTCTGATTTAGTAGGTCTGGATAATGGCATAAGAATTTTCATTTCTAACAAGTTCCCAAATGATACTTATGCCAACAGACTAAGGACCCCACTATCACAGGGAGATCAGATAAGTGTTCTGTCTGTCTTCTCTTTGGCCAAGAAAAAGTGAAATACGAACTTGTTGACCTATGTTAATAAATGCAAAAGACTTAGTGTGCTATAATTATTTTGCTGCAAGGATGTATCATTTGCTTCAGTTTTATCATTTATTATAAATATATTGTTACATGCTATATTGCATCTTCTTAAATCCCCCCATTATAATGTAAAATATAACATATTTTAAAATAACAATTTTCCCTTTAAAATATATTTTATTTTTTGAGCAGTTTTAGGTTCACTGCATATCTGTGTGGAAGATAGAGAGATTTCCCACAGACATGTTACTCCCATATATACACAGCCTGTGTGACTTCTTCATTATAAACATCCTCCACCAGAAGAGTACATTTGTCACAGTTAATGCTTCAACATTGACAGGTCATTATCACCCAAATTCCATAGCTTATGTTATGGTTTAGTCTTGATGTTGTACAATCTATAGGTTTTAACAAATGTACAATGACATGTATCTACCATGTGGTATCATACAGAATAATTTCACTATCTTGAATATCCTCTGTGCTTCTCCAATTCATTCCTTTCCCTTCAACCTCTAGCAATCACTGATATTTTTACTTTCTTTATAATTTTACTTTTTTTCAGAATATCATATCGTTGGGATCATATAGTTGTAGCCTTTTCAGATTGACTTCTTTTACTTAGTAATAGACATTTAAGATCCCGCCATATTTTTCATGGCTTGATAGCTCATTTGTTTTAATCACTGAATGATACTCCATTGTTTGGATGTAACACAGTTTGTATATCTGTTCACCTATAGAAGGCTCATCTTGATTGCGTCTAAGTTTTGACAATTGTAAATAAACAGGTTATAAACATCTGTGTGCAGATTTTTGTGTGGACATATGTTTTCAACTCATTTAGGTGAATTCCAAGGAGCATGATTGCTGAAAGTTATGGTAAAAGAATACTTAGTTTGTAAGAAACCACCAAACTGTCTTTCAAAGTTTCTGTACAATTTTGCGTTCTCACAGAAAAGAATGAAAATTCGTGTCACTCCACATTCTCACCAGCATTTAGTGTTGTCAATGTTCTAGGTTTTGGCCATTCTAATAGGCGTGCAGTGGTATCTCATTGTTTCTTAATTTGCATTTCCTGATGACATATAATGTGGAACATCTTTTCATATTTTTACTTGCCATCTGTATATCTTCTTTGGTGAGGTATATGTTAATGTCTTTGGCCCATTTTGTGGAATGAGTTATTTGTTTTCTTACTGTTAAAAGTTTTTGGATATTTGGATAAAATTCCTTTATTAGATATGTGTAATGCAAATATTTTATTGCAATCTATGGCTTATCTTCTTATTCTATTATATTGTCTCTTGCAGAACAAAGGTATTTTTTTTTTAATGTGTAATGAAGTCTAGGTTCTGGATGTTCTCCATGTTATCTTCTGCAAGTTTTATAGTTTTGGGTTTTATATTTAGGTCTGTGATCCATTCTGAGTTAATTTTTGTGAAGGGTATAAAGCCTACATCAAGATTCTTATTTATTTATTTATTTATTTATTTATTTTGCATGTGAATGTCCAGTTTTTCAAGCACTGTTTATTTAAAAGCATTGTTTATGGCATTGCCTTTGCTCCTTTGTTAAAGTTCAGTTGGCTACATTTGTATAGATCTATTTCTGGTCTCTCTATTCTGTAATATTGATCTATTTATCTATTCTTTCACCAATATCATGCTGCTTTACTTAATGTAGCTTTACAGTAAGATTTAAAGTCAGGTAGTGTGAGTCCTTCACATTTATTCATCTGCATTATGATACTGACCATTCTGCATCTCTTGCCTCTCCATATAAACTTTAAAATCAGTTTGTTGATATTTACAAAATAACTTGCTAAAATTTGATTGGGATTGCCAACATTTAATAATGATATCATATATATATAT